ACTGTCATGTCTATTTCACCATAGCTGATAGGATATGATAAACAATAGCATATGTAAATTCCTACCAAAAATATATATCTGAAGGGATTCTGTCTTTTACTACCTTGCAAAATATCTTTTTTAGACATTCTTTCAGCTGCCTGGCAAGCATGTGAGGCAGCAAGAGACCTGACATTCCTGTGGTTGGCTTGAGTTTTATGTTACTTATTACTCAGGGATGTGCTAATATCTCCTTTACAAAAGAGCAACAGCAGAAAAATTAGAATTCTGCTTCCCACATGAAATATGCAAAACAAATATGTCAGTGGGCCATAACGCCTGTGAGATTAAGAACCCAGAAAGCTTGGTTGACTAAACTGAAAAAGTGCCCAGTTCTCTGGTGGTTTCCTCCATGGCATTGGACAAACAGATAATTCCTCATCTGACATAGTATATTTAATGCAACATTAGATACTTTCTCCATAACTTTTTATTAGAGTTATGTCCGTATAAGGGAATGTATTAATAATCGAAGAAAATAACATGGTGATTCAGAGCAGGCCTCCCAGGCCATCAGGAAAGGGGCGAGGAATGAATTTTTCACAGAAACTTTTCAAGTTTACTCTCACCTGTGTGTTGATTAGTCTTTACTATCCAATGAGTAAAATACACCATCAGAGTTGTCTGTGAAAACAATGAAAACTGTTTTGTGTTAAATAGTACAACTAAAGTATTGACCATCTTAAAGATAAAAACAAGTTGTTCTGTTTCTTAAGTAGGCAAAAGATCTGCTTCCTTTTGAGGTCATATGATATACGAAAAAAAATACTGAGCAAAGATTGTTTTTCCTTGTCACATTGGCCTACAATACCATGAAAAGGTTGGGAGCACATGTTTAGAGTCCACCAGACTAGGGTTCAAGTCCTGTCTTTCCTACTTAATCAATTTGTAACTTTAAAAACTTTCTTAACCTCGTTGAACATCGGTTTTCAATATCACAAAATGGAGATTTTCCTCTGGTCTTTATCCACAGGCTTGTTACAAATATTAAAGGAGGTAAACCACCTAACAGCATCTGACATGTAGGAAGGGCTCCTTATAGTGGAGTGCCTTCTTGGACAATCTGTTATCCTACTGATTTAAACAGCTCTGTTATACTTGCCGTTCTAGAACCATGTTTTCCTGCAGACAGAGAGTTGGTGATTGCACTCTCAGACATCACTTAGCCTTTGGTTTCCATGTGGCCCACAGCTGGAGCCAGGGAGGGAGGGGACAGGAGTCAGTGCTCAGCAGCACATGAGCTGCCAGTTCACACTAGAGCTGCACTTTCTGTGCTCAGCCATCTGACCTGCCGGAAGAGGCCCAGCAGCCTCCTGTCTCTTCAGCGTAATCCCTATGGAGAGTCTGTATACACAACCCACTTTCATTTTGCCTCCACATGGCGATTGTTGTCCTTTTCGAAGGCTTTGTGTTTTCTTTCTTACCAGGTCCTTTTCATGTTAAACTTGGGCAAGACCTACCTACACAGCAGGCATGCTCACTCTTCCTGAGACATATCCATCTCTTGTTTCTACCCAGCATGGTAAAAGATGGTTGTTTTGTGAAACAAACAGGCCAGGCCCAAGTCAGGGCTAACAGGATGTGTTAGCCCTCAGGGGTGAAAGAAAAGGAACAGTCCCACATGAGGTGCTCTCTCACCCAATTACTCCACTGGAAATGGTCAAGAAGAGCAAAGAAAATCTGAACAAAAGAAATAAAGTGAGATTTTTCTGGTTTTGATCAGAGACGATTTTGCCTCAGAAACAAAACGGCATGGTATTTTAAAGATAAAATTCACTTGGACACTATAATCAAGTAGCATAAATGTACTTATGATATGAAACTGAAATTAGAAGTTCCATTCTCAAAACTGAGTGATCCCAAAGGGCTTCTGATGACTGGTAGTTAACTAAAACATGATGATTTTAGCTTGCCACTGAATAACATGTATCACAGACATGCAGAAGGGAAAAAGGGAGAGGGCACCTCTGATTCCGGTTAGGAATGGAACTTGGAAAGAACAAATGGAGAGTGCAGAAAGGGAAATCTAAAGGCAAAATCATGGAGTGAGTTAAAACAAACATATCTCAAGTAAGAAATGGCCGTTCCCTGAACTCAGAGTTCTTTGGGAGCTTCTTCCCCAGGATTGAAGTCTCAAGGTTATTTCTTGCCTGCTCCTTTTCCTCTCTTTAGATGTGTATGGACAGGCACTCAGTTAGAAATTGCCACGCCTGGCAGTTTCTTAGGCTATATGTTCCTCTCACGGTACAGCTTAACCTTTGGCTGTTTGGCTTGTAATTTTCTTTTCCCAGTATACTTCTTCTGCCTATGGTCATATTTGAATGCTATATAATAAGCTGCATTAGTCAAGATTGCCTAGGGTTTTCCATTTAAACAGATTTTGAACTCAAATATGTTTCTATTAGAGTCATCTTTATGTACTCTAGCACACATTCCTTAAAACATTTAACTTTTTAAGAAAAAAAAATAACTTGATTGTGATGGTGGTTTCAAAACTAATAAAACTGTACACTAAGAAGGGTGAAATTTACGTAAATTACACCTCCATTTTTTGAAAGCCTTTTAAAAAGTAAGCGTTGCCACATTATCTGCTATAGACAAGTAGAACAAGTAGAGAATCTTGTACCAAAACTGAGAACATCATGACCCCCAGATTTCTAAGCCCAATAAGCTACTAATTAGCTGTGGGATCTTATGCATGCAGTTTCGTCTCCAGGAACTCAGTTTTATCATCTGCAAAATGAGGGGTTTGTTCAGATTAGCATTTCTGAAAGGATGTTTGGCAAAATACTAATTCTTCAGAATATTTTTTAGTTAATTTTTTAAACTATTATTATTTTTAATAGAGATGGGATCTCACTCTGTTATCCAGGCTGGTCTGGAACTCCTGTACTCAAGAGATTCTCCTGCCTCAGCCTCCCAAACTGCTGGGGTTACAGGCGTGAGTCACCATGCCCAGCCACGTTTGTAGTTTTTATGTAAGGCAAAAAAAAAAAAAGGTTCTTTCATCAAATATTTTAAAGAATGGTTACATCAGCAAAATGAAGTAGATTCATTAAGTGCAGGACTTGTCACAGCTTTTTCACCACGTGAAAATGCATATACCGTTTCCCTAGCTGATCCAATCGCTATAGCCTTTATCTACTCCATCCCACTCAGGCTTCAGCATCTGTGGGTTTGATGTATAAACTTTGGGAAACACTTCAGTAATCCTTCTTGAGGATTATCTCCCACAAAATGTTCCTCCCGCAAAACGTTTCTCAGGTATCAACTTTATTTGCACTTAAATTCACACATATGAGCAGAACAAAGTTATTAAGTGGTTATTCTGAGTGATTTGCCATTTTGTTAGAGTCTGAATATAATTGGGAGACATGTTTACTTCATATTGCATGTGTAGACACAGATGTGGCAGCGTGTTAACTGTATAAGCACGTTTCAGATTTGCTCCAGCATCTTTTGAGTAGAGTGTATGCAGAAAGCACGCCGGGGCTAACAGAAGTGAGAGATAGCAATAGAAGTGTGGCAAGATTCAAACAAAATTCTATTAGAAAATAAAAACAATGGTGAACCTGAAAAGTGCTTGAACTCTGTTACAAACTCACATCAACCGTTTTCTTTTTTCTCTCCAACAGACGTAACAGCCAAGTTACAGTATAAAAAGCGGCCTCATTTTTAGCCCCATTCTGGGAGCCCATATAATAAGTACTGGGGTGTAAAGTTGGGAAGAGGGGATCTTTTTGCATTGAATGAACTATAATCAGCAGCCCAGCTTTGTGCAGTCATGTCTCCAAGGAGAAGCTCATCTGAACTTTTCCAAAGTTTCGTTGGTATATATCAAATTATTTATATGCTGTCAAAAATTGGCTGAAACCCAGCTATCCACAGCTATCCACAATTCCTAGAAAATTCAGCATATGATGTTTCTGGAGCATTTTTCTGCCTTTCTGCAAGGAACTTATCTGGTTATATTAATGATTATGGGCCTCTTTTACCATTCTTTTGCAACAAAATCCTTCTGGACAACACAAATATTGAAAATGTAAATATAGTCACATATAATAAATGACAACTTTTACAATAGCTTGACTATATGCTGCATTTGATGAATCCCAGCAGTCTTCTCTCTTTCCTAGTTATATTTATTAGCAGTGTTTTTCTTATGTAACCATAAATAATACTCTATTAAGCAATTTCTAACACATATTTAATAAGTTAAATACAAATAAAGATCTTAGTAATTAAATTAATGGCATGATTTTCTTGGAAAGAAGTTGAACACATGCATTAAGGAAAATTCAGAGTCTTCAAAGTTGTAGAAAATAAACTTATGGTACACACACGTGGAATCAGAAGAATAACAGCAATTTGTAGCCCCTCCAAGGCAAAATTTCGGGAGTGGCCTCACTAGCCTTTTACCTAAAACTGATGACTTTAGGTGTCTCCTCTATCACAATACTGCAGCTACTTAGGTTTCATTTAAACCTAAATAGAAAAAAGGAAAACACAGCAAATATTTTTCTCCTTTATATTAGAGCAGTGTTTAACCATCAGCAAAGTGAACAACTGGTCTTTAACAATAGGCTGCTTCCTTCTACTGAAACCTCTACTTATACTACTATACTCCAATTATCCTGCAGGTAAGTAAAGTGGATACATTAGGGTCACTAATAAACACCTATAAATATCTTGAGTTGATTTCACTGAACTTTGATTTAGTAAATTATAGGCTCACCTTCAGCACCTGAGCTGCACCTTTAACATTCTGTGTTCTGCCTTGTCCCAAATGCTCCTGGAAATGCCTAGGTAAAAATCACACCCATAATTGCAATATTTCTATGTTGTGTTTAATGTCATTAACATGGAATCAGATATAGATGATTAAATCCATTTGCAGCTAATATAGATATTAATTCTTGACTTAAAGGTCAAAAATAAAAATCTCATGTGATAAAATTGTATTGGTCTTTAGATTTTTATTTTTTTTAATTGTATTCAGTTCAAATACTTACAGAAGCACTTAAAAATAATATATTTGAATTTCTGAGAGAAAATAACTATCAGCTATGTCTAGTTATCTTGTTTCTATTTTGTGGAGAAAAATGAGGAAGACGGAAAATATTATTTCAGTTTCCTGGTAACATACTTAACGACACCACAAGAGATTTAAAACACTTATTGAATTGAAAGGATATCAGTGAATACATAACAATTTGATAATTAATATCTATAAACCCCATCAGTCCAAGGTTGCCAAAATTAAAGTACAGAGTAAAAAATGTCAAGAAGCTCCAGAACAAAATGACACTGGGCCTTCTTTCCTGGTGCTGCAGAATAACAGACTGAATATGTCCCAGGCACAAAGAATTTCACTGTCCAGTGAATCTTCTACCAGCCATTTCTTTCAAATGCCAGCAAATTCTTCGCAGAGAGGAACACACCAGCCATTTTCTGTGTCCTTGGGACACAGCAAGAAGGATCTGTTCAAGGTGGTGACCTAGATTTGGGGAGCAAGAGAAACAAACACTGATCCCTGTATTTTTAGGAAAAAAATCATCTTTATTCTTCCTAAATTGTTGCCTCCAATTCCTACATTACTATTTCAAGTTAAGATTGGAAGACTGTTGTATTAGTCTGTTCTCACACTGCTAATAAAGACATACCCCAAACTAGGTAATTTAGAAAGAAAAGAGGTTTAATTGATTCAGTTCTATGTGGTTGGGGAGGCCTCATGATCATAGCTGAAGGCAAATAAAGAGCAAAGTCACATCTTGCATGGCAGCAGGCCAGAGAGCTTATATAGGGAAGCTCCCTTTTAGAAAGCTGTCAGATCTTGTGAGACTTATTCTGTCACAAGAACAGCATGGGAAAGACCTGACCCCATGATTCAATTACTCCCGCTGGGTCCCTCCTACAACACATGGGAATTATGAGAACTACAATTCAAGATGAGATTTGGGTAGGGACACAGCCAAACCATATTAACTGTTAAAATGCAAATATTTAGGTGAGCAATACCCTTTACACTACCATGGCAAACAGATTTGATCCCATATGACATCTCTGATAAAGTGACAGAAGCGGTCTGTAATGTGCTAAAAAGGTCCTAAGCACCCCATCCCCAGCCAAGCTCAATAGAAAAGAATACTCTTTTTGATTAGCAATGTCCACTGTGAGCACAAGAGAATACACTTGCAACATATAAGTTACATATTTCCTGACTCTGTTGTTTTTCCTTGTCTAGCATCTACTCATGGAGAGTAGATGCTTCTGCCAATATCAAGCTTTGGGTATCCACCTCTTCCCTAATTTGCATTCCACCATTTGCATTCCAAATTGTTTGTATCTCTGTTTTTACACATTCAAAATTTAGCTCAGTTTGATTAAGCAAGAAATGTGTCAATAATCATAGATGTACCCTCCTAGGAACCATGTAGGTGGGCTAATTTGTTGGTGCAGAGGAGGGAGATTTGCTCTAGATTCAGCCTTATAATAAGTGAATTAAAGAAAAAGCCTTAGGAGCTCCAGTAGTGCAGTTGGTTAGCACACAATACTTGTATGAAGATAGAACCTTAAAAAATTGCACTGAACATTCATATGACTTGTGAGAACATCTGGCAATTACAGAGCATTTTGCCAAGACTTAATAAAATAAATAAGGAGAATAAAGATCAGAATATATTTCAACCTAGTACAGTCTTGTTCAATATATTTTTTAATTGGTCAAGAATTATACAACAAAACCTTATGAGATAATCTGTAGCAGCAATTCTTTTCCTCAAAAATTAAAGAAGCTATTTAAAGAAAAGGGCTATCTGCCATACCAACTTTCTAACACTGCCCTACCTAGCTTCTTCAGTAAGGGGATACCTATTGTATTTAATGTACTCTAAAAATACATTTACTACCATGTTTATTGTTTTACCATGACCATTTATTTTTTATTTATTCAGTTTTTTTGAGATACAGTCTGCTCTGTCTACTAGGCCGGACTACAGTGGCACAATCACAGCTCAAAGCAGCCTCAAATTCCTGTGCTCACATGATCTTCTGGCCTCAGCCTCCTGCGCAGCCAGGACTGCAGATGGATACCACCATACTCAGCTAATTTTGTTTTTAATTTTTTGTAGACTAGGGCCTCGCTTTGTAGTCCAGGCTCATCTCAACATCCTGGCTTCACTCAATCCTCCTACTGTGGCCTCCCAAAGTGCTGGGATTATAGGCATGAGCCACTGCACCCCGCCCTAACCACATTTCATGAGCATTTGATCTTGCTATCCATGATACTTTTGAAGAAGTAAGCCCAGAGTTTGTCAAAAGGGTGTTATATTTTCCATAACACAATTTTTAAGCCTTCTTTAACAGAGCCACTCTGGGGATCTATGGTTTCAAAGAGAAGTTCAAAGTTTCTCTCTGTTTCATTGCCCTGTATTTTCCCTTATGATACATCACAATCTATATTTATTTTGCTATTTGTTTCCTTGTTTGTCTATGTCAGACAGGCTGTATGAGGGCAGGCACCTTGTCTGTCTTTTTCACTATATGTCTCCAACACAAAGCAGAGTGCCTGCAACAATAATTATGTGTGAAAACAATGCTTAATAAATGAATCTATGAATCAATGAAATAATCCATAAATGAAACTGATGGTGAAACAACAGAGTGGAGGTGCTTTATTTTATAAGCAGCCCTGTTCATAAATTCATAAGAGTTCAGAAGTGGAAAGCTCATAAGTAGAGGTGCTACTGTACTCCTTCCTGCTTCTCTTGGACTCTGGATCAATATCTGCCTCAGGTAGATTCCTATGTAGCACCCACTTCCAATGGATTCCTTCTGTCTCTGGAATAAGGTACTAAAGCCAAAGTAGGTTTTCATGCCTCTCTTCGCCCTGACCCTGCCTTGGACCCTTTATTCCAGTAAAGCACGTTATGGTACATTTTCCTCTCACCGTCTTGCAATTCAGTCTATACAAAAGTTTGGACCTTTCTATGCTTTGCCAAGACACACTTTTTATACCGTTCATAACATCTGGCCCACAGTTTCTAATAGCCCGCAAATGCCGTGACATAAGCAACAGCTAATTTCATATTATGCAAGGCTTTAGTTACATTAGAAAATGAGGTAATGTATATGAAAGTGTTTTGTGAACTATAAAATCCCATACAAATGAGAGAGACAATGATCATGATCGTCACTATCACTGTTGTTGCCTTAATAAAGACAGAAAACTCTTTGAAAAGCCTTTTCACATTCTGCCTTTTTGGCTTTTAAGAAATATCGAACTAGGTGCTTCCAGAGAATAAATTGTTTCTTGGTATTAAAACAGAAATTTTAATAAGATTGCATTAACTCTTCCAAGCACTGTTACATTACAGAGGAACACAAACAAAACCAGTTCCTGTTGACCCAGTTCCACTATTTATCTAAAATGTGAGGAGCAGATATTTCTTAATAGTTTGCGTTTTCTCTTTTTTTTTCTTCAACTTTTATTTTAAGTTCAGGGGTACATGTGCAGGATGTGCAGGTTTGTTACATAGGTGAATGTGTGCCATGGTGGTTTGCTGCACAGATCAACCCATCACCTAGGAATTAAGCTAAGCGTCCATTAGTTATTCTTCCTAATGCTCTCCCCCCTCCTGCCCCTCAACCCTGACAGGCTCCAGTGTGTTTTGTTCCCCCCACAGTGGAAGCTTTGAAACATACTTTCATTTCCTATACAGAGGATGAACCTGATTCCCCACTTTACACGAGCTACCTTCTTAGAAAGGAGACCCACTAGGCCAGTCAGCCCAGCAGTATCTCAGATCACATCAGACTCATTGTAAGAGAGGTAGAAGTTGCCTAAACACTATAATTTGAAGCACATCAAAAAGGTCCCCACATGGCTCTGCCTAGAGGTCTAGCCCTGGGGATTGAATATGTTAAATAATAACCCTAATATCCTGGAGCACTCTCAGCTACCAAACAAAAGCCATGAGAAGCAAATGAGAGTACAAAAGTGGATGCATACACTCATGCTTCTTTGGGACACAAATGTTCCCAGAAAGTATTGAATTGCATCCTAGTAAGAGAGCTAGCCACAGAAAGGATCATATAAGCAAATTCCTATTTTCCAGTTTTGACCTTTACTGACTGTTAAAGAATATTCAGCTCTCTCACACTACCTTGAGCAATATTACCATTTCCTGTTTATTCAGATAAAAGAAAATGCATACCAAGAGCCCCTGACAGCTGTAACTTACTAAATGATACCATGTGAGCCTAAATAAGTTAATATAGATTTTACATGTATAATGTACTTTTGTGAAAGACTGTACTTACAGAAATAATCTAGCTCATCAGTTTTTGGAAGAGGCAAAGCAGTTTCAGGGCTTATTTTTGCAACATCACATTCTCTCCTACCTTTCCTCCAGTCATGAGAAGTCAGAGGGGAAAATAATGAAACCGGTCTCTGGTCATAGGCATCTGAAGAACTTCATTACTATTATTTGCAAAGATTTGACACTGACTTGAGGTTTCACTGATGATTGGCATTTATAAAGAAGCCTTTGCATAGCATTCAGCAGGCTGTTAAAAACATGTATAATTTAGCTTTGGTAGTTTCAATAAAGTAGACGTTAGGTTCTGTCAATGACCTTCATGAACTTCTAGGAGAACATAGTCTTACGGTGAGAAGGTGAAAAACAAAGACTATATTTTCCTACTTAGGAGGTAATTACACTTCAGTTTATGTAGTTCTGATGTTCGTGGGAGATCTTTATAATTTACCCCTGTGTAGGCTCTCACTGTGAAGACTTTTTTTTTCCCTTGAGAGAGCTGGTTGTTGTTTTTTAAAAAACTAGCGTCCTTGCAAATTGGATAAGCGTTGCATTACGGTGGTTTGCAATCCATTGATAGACTTACGTATTTGAACCTTAGGAATAGCACTTGAAAGAAAGATTACAAATCCCCTGAACCTGCAAGCATTCAGTTTCCAAAAATACCTATTTCCAAGGCATGAAAGCACTGGATTTTGAAAGCCCTGGTAAATCCAAGCAAAGTAAAATGTACCTCTGCTCAAATGAGTTCAGTGGTGGTTGGGCCTTTAAGATGACGAGGTTTTTTGAAGCTTTCTACAGATAGCCAAGGAAACTCATCCTTCATTCAACATCACAGGGTTCCTCTGCCATCATGGTAATTATACATGTTGCCAAATCAATTAAGATTGCACAAGGAAAGATGATTATTCATTGTAGCAATTTCACTTTATAGTCAGTGGTAAATTCTGTGAGAAAACTTCATCCAGCAACTTTCCTATCCTTCTGGAAGGCGGGCCTTGGTGGTCAGCCAGAAACATGCAAAACTATCAGTATAATTCATGCTGCTTACGGCTAAAAAAAAAAAAAAGAGGCATTTCCAAAGCCAGGGCAAATTAGCCTTTGGCATTGGAACTCTTGATTATTTATCCACTCGGGCACATCTATACAATGAGAAACAACTGTCTTGAAAGGCAATAAAATGTTGCATACAGTTCCCAGGGGCCTGTCTGCCTGATGAAGCATTTAATCAACCAAGCCACAGAACCACTTGTGTTCTATATATCTAGCTAGGGAGGTAGTCAGTGAAACTCATTAAACAGTGCTCAGAAGGAACTATCCAGCCCAGGGCTTGATTTTCTCCACAGGCACCCAGGCAAAGTCCCAAAAGTCCATCTTCCAGCTATTGCTGAGTGTTACCAAACTCCAGCTCCACTTTCTCAGAGAACTCAGGTCAGGAAGGTGTTTGTTTTTTCAAGCTCTTCCTGAACTCCCAGGCTGTGGTCAGCATCTCATGCTCTCATTTTTCATGCCTTTGTTTTCTTTCCCCAGTAATAATGCAGTCTACTCGAGTGGGGACAACGGCATTCTTCTGCCACAGCATCTAAAATGATGTTTGGATAGATCGTTGAGTCTTGAAAAGTACGTTTTCATTGCACTGGGCTGCATGGTTTCTTCTGAACACTGTTTAATGGGTTTCACTGACTACCTCCCCTAGCTAGATACACAGAATTCAAATGGTTCTGTGGCCTGGTTGACTAAATGGGTTTGTATTTCATCGTACTACTAGTGGCTCCTCACCTAAACAAAATTTCCATTTGCAAATGGAAATATTCTTCTCACTTACGTAAACACTGCTTTCCCTTTCTTTTGATTGAGAACCTTCCTTCAGCTCAAACTTTTTCCATCTCCTCTGTATACACGATGCTTCTGGATTCTGAAGTCTTGTAAGTCAAGATTTTAATGCTTAAAATTTTTTCAGTGTACCATCTTTCATAGACACAGAGTAACCATGCATCAGCACAAAAGCACAAGTACTCATTTACATAATGGTGCTTTGTATATAAGAATGAAAGGGAAGGCCGCGTGCAGTGGCTCAAAGCTATAATCCCAGTACTTATGGGGCTGAGGTGGAAGGATTGCTTGAGGCCGGGAGTTCAAGATCAGCCTGGGCAACATAGCAAGTACCTATCTCTACAAAAAAAAAAAAAAAATAGAATAAAAAGGAAAAGATTTTTTGGAACTCAAACTGTTCATCCATTGAAGAGTCTCTGTACAAATTATCTGATCTCCATATTGTCAGGAAGCACACAGAACTTTCTTTTATGTATTTGAGTATTACATATGCATTTATTTGGAGAAAATTCACAGGCTTTGCAATGAGTTCTAATACCAATTCCCAGGACTTTTCACTCTGGAACTGTTAATGACCCATTTGGTCATTTTAGGTGTGCCATTAGGTGCACTAATATACCCTTGAGATAATCCCAGATCTACTGCTTATTAGTTGCATGATTGGCCACATTATTTAACTCATCGCTTCAGTTTCCAAATCTGTGAAATAGAAATAGCAATAGCAATCACTATAGGTTATCGTGAGGATTAAATGAGTTGCGACATGTAAGGCATGTAGAGCCTGGCACTTAGTATGAACTCATCAAATATTAGCTTTTTTTTTTTTCTTCCAGATCTGGGTACATTCTCATGTGTCCCTCATAAATTTTGTTTCTTTCCAGCTGAGAGTAGTGGAAGGATGCCACTTCTTTTTTTTTTTTTTTTTTTTTGAGACAGAGTTTCACTCTTGTTACCCAGGCTGGAGTGCAATGGCGCGATCTCGGCTCACCACAAAGGATGCCACTTCTTAATTCAGGGTTCTTAGTGATAAGTCTTTGGCCTTTTGTTAATGTACTTGTTCAAAATTCAGGCTTCAAGTGATGATGCTGTATTTCCATCAGCTCCACATAGACTGAGAGATTCCTAACGACAGGAACTCGATCCTAAACTTGTTTCTATGGCCCACCATGTCTAACGCAGTGTCTCACATGGAGTAAGAGCTCCCTATTTATTTTTGTTGATTTTTTTTTCTGTTCCTTCCTCTCTGGTTACCCAAGGCTAATTACGGCAGCATTCCACACTCTTTCTCCTCTTCCATACCACGTGTAATTTGATCTAATAGAGGTTACGAAGCCTGTAAGGCATACAACAAAGGACATATCAGTCACTAAATACGTATGTGATCCTTACCAGAACTCTTATTGTTTAGATAGAAGAAAGAGCAGATCAGTTTTTGGACAGATTTGTGTCCTGGGTTATTGGTGGGCTACTTGTGGGTTACTTATGTGCTGGCAAGCTGATAAAATTGAAATAAAAAAATTGGACAAGCATTCCAGGGAAGCTAACAAAAAAATTCTTGATTTTGAACAACTTGGCTACATTATTCAGAAAAGATAGTTCATAAAGGTGTGTTCAATGGGAAACACTCTACTATAAGAAGATAACCCATGAAAACGTTTAATTCACTGAGCCAGACTTCCTTCCATGTAGTCTTATGTGATTCCATTACAAAACACTTTTTTCTTACCTGCTTATTGCCGTCTTCGAATGCAAATTTAATAGTAAATTGGCTTTATTCTCTTCAGAAGGTACTCCTAACTACTGCTAGAATATGCAGCCACAGAGGAAAAGCCCTGTAGAGGAATTTCACTCCAGCAGAAGGAAGCAACCCCCTCATTACCAGATTGTTGTTTTCATTAATTCTGTGGAAAGTCCCTTCTCTTGTTCAGTCCTCTGCTTCTCCATTTGGCTTAATCTCCAACTGTAGTTTTCAGAGCCTTATGATGATTATTAATGTTATTGACTGCTATTTCAGACAGCCTAGGTTCAAGTCTTCATGAGTGAAACTTAGCCTTTCTAATCCATCTGCTTACGAAGGTCCCTCATGGATTCTTTTTCTTTAAGTTGTGACTTGGCACTTTCGTTTGGTCTGATTTGTTCTGTGACCTACGTACAAGCCATGTTTTTTTAGTTGGAAACGGGCTTTTTGTTGGTGATCACTTACACATGTTGCTGTTTTCCCTTTGTTTCTCTGCCTACTCCATTCTAAAATCCCACACATGATATGGTGAATTCAAATGTTTTTTTGAACCAGGTGAGAATTGAACTTTAGACTTATGTTTTTTAATGGACAGGTTTTTTCCAGCGGAGGTTTTCAAGCTGTTTTCTTTTGAATTTTGCTCTTTTAAAATCCAGATGCTGTTTAAAATTAGTAGAAGGCATTTGAACTGTTTTTTGTTTTTTATGACTGTTTATGTTTTTTATGACTAAAAAAACATAAACTGTTAGTATTCAGTGACTTACATTAGAGATGATGGCTCCTTATGTTGGCCAGGATGGTCTCGAACTCTTCATCTCAGGTAATCCACCCACCTCGGCCTCCCAAAGTGCTGGGATTATAGGGGTGAGACACTGTGCCCGGCCACTTGGTGACTTTTAAATGAAAAGAATTTGTACCACAAGAAGTTTATGCTATTGTAGAACATTACTTAGTGAGGATATCTGAAATAAAGAAATCTCTTTCCATTCAAATTGGCTTGAATATAAGAGAAGAACAGATATAGATATTTCAGGCCAGTTACAGTGGTAGCTGCCAACGTGGTCTAGAAGATCTTTGTATTAGTCCATTTTCATGCTGCTGATAAAGACATACCTGAGACCGGACAATTTACAAAGGAAAGAGGCTGAATAGACTTACAGCTCCACGTGGCTGAGGAAGCCTCACAATCATGGTGGAAGGTGAAAGGCACGTCTCACATGGCGGCAGACAAGAGAAGAGGGCTTGTGCAGGAAAATTCCCATTTTTAAAACCATCAGATCGGGAGACCTATTCATTATCATGAGAACAGCACAGGGACGACCCAGCCCCATAATTCAGTTACCTCCCACCAGGTCCCTGTGTGGGACTAAGGTAGAGATAATTGCAGAAAACAGAGACTTCTTAGTTTCCTGAGCCTAGGAGAAACAAGCGGAAGAGGGTCTTGAAGTTCTTTCTTTCCCATCCTGTAAACCATCTATTTTCCACCAGAATCTATAAAAGGGGCTAAAAGTCTAGCATTAAATGTTGAATTGAATTTTTAGTCTCAGTAAGAGTAAAAAGCCTTTCAAATCTCCTGGAAGTAACACAAAGTGATACCCCTCCCCCACCCCTCACCTCCACAAACAGCAGTGTTAACCTCTCTGTGCCTCATTTCCCTCATCTTTAAAGGCACAGCTCCTCATGACTTCCCACATACATAAACAAAAATGGCTAAACATGCCCTGATTGTCTCACAAACTATACAGCTTTGAATTGTCATCACAGGCTATTTCTATACAGCTAAAGTGAAATGGAGAATGGAAGCTAATGTGGAGAACTGCCATCTCATGCTCAGTTTTACTCTTGCAACGTTCAGAGAATGACTATTTTTTGAAAACCTATTTATGTGTCCTGGAACCAGGGCCTGGATAAATAAATTTTTTAAAATAGATGTAATATAGGTGATACTTAGGAGCTCATTTGCTTCAAACTTCTACTGCCTCAAATCCACTGAAACAACTTGTGTTAAGATTAATAGTATCCTCCTAATCCTCATACCCAGTGGACACTTGCATTTATTATCTTCATTGACTTCTCTGGACCATATGGCATTGTGCAAATGTGGGTCACTTTCTCAAGGTTGAAACTCTTTTTCTTTTTTCCTTTGCCAAGGTATTGTAGAAGAGACCAGGGTACAGATTCTGGAATCAGATAAATTTAATTCCAACCCTACCACCTTCTAGCTGGTAGTCTTAGTCAACTTTCTTGAACTTTCTGTGCCTCGGTGTCCTATCTTAAAAATGAAGATAATAGAACTTATCGTATAAGGTTGTTGTATTAGATGATTTACCTTATGCACAATGTTTAAACAGAGCTCTCCCACATAAATGGCATCCAGTAAATATTAGCTTAATTATTCATAACACCAGTTTCCTTCCTTATTCTGATCATTGTCTCACGGTCTCCTTCATTGGTACTGATTCCTCTGTCTAGCCTGTGAAATCAGTGTCCTTGTCTCTTCTTGCTGTACATAATCACCTTCGATGATCTCATTTACCTTAAACCTTCACATACAATCATTAGGTAAAAGCTTCTTAAATCTCAGTGTCCAGCTAGACCTCTCTCTTGAGCGCTGAGCTCTCTCTCCAACTCTTCAATGCACAATTCCCCCTTAGTTGCACCATCAATGCCTCATATTTAATATGTCCAAAGAGGAATGCATCATCAACCCGTTTCCTGGAACTTCAACCACTAGAGATGATGGCATGCCCATCAAAGCAATGTGGTAGGGAAATCAAGGTGTGGGTGTTCAGTGAATGCTGAGTGTTCTCCATCTCAGTTCCAGCAAAGGGTGGCTGTGGAAAGGCAAAGAGATTTCATTCTGAGTCGGTAGAATTAGCTTAGATTTTTACAAAACTTGCTTATAATTCTGGATTCCGTTCTGTAGTAAATAGTTATTGGAAATTTATGATAGAACAATTTCTAAAAATGATTGTCACATGTTTCTAGCTCTCATGTCCAGACGCTACAAACTTTACTGACATCAGGGATGATCTCCAGTCTCTTCCTTTGTATTCTATGTATCTCTGTCAAGAACAAAATGTCTGTTGCTCTCAGTTACTCTATGAGTAGCCACACAAGGTCAAATATGTGAATATGAATCTTTCCCACAATAGAAACACAAAAACCGGCTGACTTGGCTTCATGCCTCTTCTGAAATCTTCACTGCAATCAAGTAATCCATTTCTAGTTACAAGACATCAGGCTAGTCTGATAGCTATTGTTTCATGGCTAGTTATGCTGTGCCGTTTTAACTTACACACGGGAGTGTATTTTTCAGATTTTGTGAATTACAGTAGTGGTTTACTATTAGTCATCTCAATAGATAATAGGGTCCCATTTCTTCTATCAATATATTCATCTAGAAAAAGTCTTGAGGCCAGGATCCAAAGTGTGTGCTTACCGGTGATAATTTAAGTCATCCTAGAGAGTTGGCAGTAATGCCTTACAACTCATAGGAAATGGCCTCAAGGCATCTTTGCTTTGTCATCTAGTAAGAAAATGTAACACAAGTCATAGAAAGTGTCCTGCCCCGAACCATAACCCTAGCACAGAGTACGTTAGCACCAGGCAAAAGATTATAACCACGCCTGAGTAGGAGTAATGACAGGCACGTTCACAGTAAGGAAGAGTGATTTCCGACTGTTACGTGCCTAACACACAGAATTTACTGAGGAGGAATACTGATATTCACACCACTTCATCTAACAACTATTATTTTAGCAACTACTATATACCAGACACTCTTCTATATACCAGGAGTATACCAATAACGTACAGACCGAAGTCCCCATGCTCATGGAACTCATACCGTATTGCACTGAGAAAGGTTTGAGACATGGGAGAAAGTTGGGATGGAGATTTTTGCTTCGTTGTTTTATTGAGACCAAGTTCCTTGATTATACATCTATGCTCTAGTATTTTTAAAAAAGAGAAAAAAAAGTAAAAACAGACGCCACACACACACACACACACACACACACACACACAAATACACATAAATATATACCTATCTAAGTATATATTCATGCATAATCATATATATAATTAACAACACCATTCCCCTCACCCCACATGTATTTCTATGAGAAAGAAGGTATTCATTCTCTCAGATGGTTTCACAGTTGAAAAGCAAAGCAGATGGCTCTTCTAGAGGAGGCAGCTTGCTTGCTAAAATGTCATGGATATACAGAAATAAAACCGAAAATGAAATGAAAGGCAAGAAAATATTCTCATTTAAATAATGAACTATCCGATGTTTCCTTAGAGCCACGCAGCTCAGATAATGAAAAGAAACACTCCCAGACCCTTTGTTCTGCCTTTACAACAAAACTCAAACCACATGTCTGTCATGAAACGAGCCACTCTGGATAATATTTTGAAGAATAATCATTGTTTGATAGAACCACTTGTAAAACCCAGAAGGTACCCCAGAGAAGCTGGCGCTCATAGTAAACTATCCAAGGGATCATTTGTGGCAACAAATGATAACGCTGAATATTGCACTTGAACTTTAAAGCAATTGCTCACACACAAAAGAAAACTAATGGCTGAGCTCTCGCTCCACCCAAGCTTCCTGTC